CATGTTTTTCAATGTTTGCTTGTCATATATATCTGAAAGACAATATGATATAATGCATGCAGTGACAAATAAGAGGGAAAGATACAGTTGCTTGCACTGGAAAATAATCTATCAGATGGATGGGTAAAGTGTCCTAAGAGTCATAGAGCCCTCTCATTTTTAGACTTGGATGTCTCAATTAGGACTTGCCCTTTTAAAGATATCTGCCTGTGCAAGAAAGAGCTTCCCTAGCCTTTGCTTTGCATAATAATCTGAGCACTCACACAGAAGCTGGGAGAAGTGAGTACTTCTCTCCCAGCTTGGAGGAATTCAGAGCCACATCTCCAGCTTCTCAGGAGAGTGGGCTAAATAACTGAAGGAAAACACAAAGGCACAGAAATGAGAAGAAAAAAGAGTCAGATCGGAACCTGAATAGCTCTGAGCTTATCCTGAGAAGGAGAGACCTACGATACACAGCCTACTCCTCTGATTTTTATTTTTAAGCAACAATTATCTGCTATAAAATGCAGCAGCTGCACTCTGATCACTTACAACACAAACTGGTGGCTCCAGCATTTGTCATCTTTCTGTTTCTGAATGAAAGCTGCTGAGGCTGCCTCATCTTGTGTTGCATTAAGTGCTGCTCTTACAAGTCCAAAACTGAAAGGCACAGTGAGGCATCTCCTGTTAGGTATCTACAGGTCCTAGCACAAATTTAGGTATGAGGATTTAACAGGCTGGTACTGACAAATGCAGGCAGCAAAAGCTCATAGCCTGGGAAATATGAATCACAAAATTTGGCTATGGGTACATCAGCCTTTTAGCCTTGCAAACCTACATGTTCTTTCTGTTCCTTGTATTCCCAGTTTTTTCATGTTGATGAAAGTCCATGTTATCTGAGCTTGAAAACCACTGGAATCTTCCAGTCATAATCCAAAGTAATTGCCAGTTATATGGTGAGCACTGTTTCATGCAGTCACTTCACTGACATGCTATACTTACTAAAAGATGGCTCATACTGGGGCTGGACAGTAAATTACAAGGTTGGCTCATAGTTTTTAAAGATGTAACACCTATTTTTCAGCAATCACCAGCCACAGCCATGCACATGAATGAACAATCACCAGCAATGCACATTAAGAAGTGTGAGTGATTGCTGAATAGCACTGCAAATGATATTAGAAACAGTCTGACATCAATGCTACCTCTCACTTATTGCATCTCAAAAAGAGTAATAACTATTGTGACATACAATAGTTATGTGTGGGTCTTCCAACAAGAGAAATGAATCTCATTTTTTGTAAGAGGCACAATCACAGAGAAAAATACAGATGAAGTCAAAACAGTAAAATTATTCCAGAGGAGTCACTGAAAACTTTGGAGCTGGCATTGTGTTTAAAATTTGCAGATATTCTTTTTCACACCTCAGTTACTGTATATAATTCCCAAATTAAGCACCATCATCCATGAAAGGATCACAGATTTTTCTTGTAATTACTTTGCTAAATATTTACAAGTTTCTTTTTAATAGAAAGATTTTTTTTTTTACAGTGGTTTTACACCCTGATTTAGAGAATTCTAATTAAACAAGTCTAATTAAATATGTCTAAGCAAGTCCTTCAAAACCAACAAACTCACTCCACAAATCCATGATATCAAGTTTTTTTTCCCATTTAATTCATTTATCAGATGTATCTTAACTATTGTTGTGAATTCTGTGTGACCTTGGCAAGGAATGAACTGAGCTGGAGCTGGGACTGCCTCTGTGGATACTGACAAAGCAAAATGAGTTTGGGGAAGCCTGAAGGGCAGAAGCTCAAGGAGTGGGGTGAGAGAGACCATTAAAAAATGTAGAAGGCCTGGAGAGAGGCAAGTTCATGTGAAATGTCATGGCCAGTTTTGAGAAGTCTTTTACACTAGAGGCAGATCCAAAGCCTTAAAGGAGAGAGACACAAGTGGATCCCATTCCTTTGCCACTATCTCTTGAATTTACAACCAGGAAACATCTGAATTGTCCGACGCCACAGCATTGATAAACACTGGCACTTGGTCATTTAAAAGAGGAGAGAGCGGAAAAAGAATGTTGACCTGCATGAAAAGACAATGGAGAAAAGCTCTCTAATTTTAAAATTCCACAAATAAGAATACTTTTTTTTCCCTGCTTTTACACTCCTTATCTCTCTAGCTCACACCTTCTTTCCAATCTCTTTCAGAAATAGCTCTATGAATAGCCCTTAGAACAGGCTGTAAGTGCTTAGAAACAGGGACTACCACTTGATTTCTTGCCTCACAGGGTGTGACAAATATGAGGTCCCTGCATCACTCCCCCATTACTTTTGTGCTAGGTTTTCAACAGCCCCATGCAGCTTCAGTTTCAACCAAGCAGAAAAAGACAGATGATACTATAATTTCTATGTATAAAATAATAACAAGCACATGAAAAAGTTACCATGATTAGCAGATCATATTTATTTCTTTCTGATAGGAGAGAAATGTAATTCAGTCACTGATTTTATGTGACCTTGACTGCAGTACCAGCCTCTTTGCAGCACTACTTAAAGGCATATCAACTATAAAAGGATAATTTTCATGTAAGAATATAAGCAGATATTATTACTTGTACCTTAAGATGGGCAAGTTTGTATGGAAGAGGGAAAGTTGATGCTCAGTAGGGAGGATGAACTGATTGTTACTGGCAAATAAACTTGATATTCAATAAGCAATAGATTGCTTATTTTCCTTACTGATTATAGTTTGCACTGATCTTATGTGTATCTCAGCTCCTTAGATAAAAATGCTCTCTGAGTTTTGAGCTTTTAAAAGAAAACCATAAAAATTGCCATGATTAATCCTTTCACTGCTGTTGCCACAGACTGATCAACTTGGACTCTACCACGTACAAAAACCTAATTTACAAGCCATTAAATTCGCCTTCATTTGATCTGCCTGATTTTGTTTGGCAGCCTTTATGTCTGACTTGTTCACCCCCAAAAGTACAGCTGCAGAAAAACCACTGGTGCTGGATGGCAAGGACTGTGTCACCCTCTCCTGCACTGCTCTCTCTCCCATGGTTGTGCTTCCATCCATGCAGGGATGCAGCAGAGGTAGTAAAAAAGCATAAAAAGTATGTCAAAGCATGGTATTTTCCTAGCCATAGTGATTGTACATGATAGTGGATGTTTTTGGAATTTGATGCTTATGAAAGATGGGACTGATATATGTACTGGCAGTTTTCAGTGACTGCAGTTTTTGATGTGGGAAGTATGCCGCAAATGTTTTCAATTTTTGATATGGGAAGTATTCTGCAAATGTTTTCAGAACCTAACTTTTGTATGCGTGGGTAAGATTACGTATTTGCACACACATCTAAGAGAGAAGAACAAAAAAGTAAATACAAATGCCCATTTTTCTAAGTGATAGTTGGACTATTTCCAAAATCAACACATTTTCACCTGACTCCTTTTCCTATGGTGAGCCTCAATGGAATGAAGTGTCCAGAATGATGTCCACAATTTGCTGGCTCTAATTAGTTACAAATAAGAATAATCTCACTAGTGGTGGGTGGGCTAAAAAAGGTGACTATCACACACTGATCATCTTTTAGATTTATTTAGTTTAGCAATAGTAAGGCAGAATGGGCCTAGGAAAATTGTCTGGCTGCACCCAACACCAGCACAAAGACACCTTGATCAGTGTGATAATGCAGTGCAGGTCACTCTAGTCTCTTCCAGACTTGCTTAATTTACCCTACAGATTTATACTTTCACCAAGAATACAACATGGGTCACAAGTAAAAACAGGTATGTGCTTAAACATTGTGTTTATGTCACATATTCATAGCTCTTGCACATTCAGTCTTGGCAAGTTTGATTTGCAGTTATGTATATTGAGCTGAAAAAATATTCCCAGTGATCAACAATTAAAGAAAAGTGGGTTTGAAAGAAATAACGAAAATAGGACTAATTTCTTCATAGGATAATAATTTGACAAAAGAAGGTTCAGGGTTGAATCAGCCTGCATTAGTCTTATTTGGCACAACATCAACCTTGGATTTGATTTTGCAGGACACCCTGCTGAGAATTTTCAGTTTCCCATTAAGATCTTCAATGGGAAAATGGTTAACCTATTAAAATTACAAGGCAGTATCAGCTGAAGAAAAGTTTGTCCTCTATCCCACTGTGAATGTTGCTGTGCAATAATAGCACCATCTATTTCCAATGTCTGGATAGCTTGTCCCTCTGCATGTAGGAGACCATTATCCTGTGACTGTGTTCTCTTCTGCTGATATAATCTCTTAAATAAAGCTCTACTGTTTACTTTCCTTAATTGAAGTACAATGGAAAAGACATGGCCTTTAAGAAGCTTCACTTTAGTCACTGCCTTGGAGCTTTGAAGGTGTTTCAAGTTGTCTTTCAGTGTACTTCAAAACATCCTTGATAAAAGAATGCGTGTGGAGGTGAAGTGGGAATTTTGCTGGCAATTATATTTTATGCAGAGTTGTAAAAAGTTTACTCAGCTGTCATTCCTCTGCCAACTTTCCCACCCCACTTTTTATCCTCTCATTGCTCTGCTAAGTGATCAAATCCTAGAAAATTTTTTTCTTGCATATCTGGTTTTGCCCCTTTTTGGAGCTGAACATTTCTTTAAACAGAAAAGCCAAATCTGTGTTGTTTTGGGGTTTTTTAAAATCCTTTCTGGATTAAAATAATCAGAAACTCTTTTCAACATAATTTTACTTTACTAGTCCTAAAGGCAGCCCCCAAATGAAGATGAGACTCACAGAGACAGAAGTGGGCAAAAGGAGACTTGATAATGGCAGATGTTTTCCTTTTACTCTGGACCTGGACAATATGAACTTATTTAACACTCCTCTGCACCCAGGGAAGAGAAAATAAAAGAAAACAATTGCAATACGGACTAAAATAGAAACTCATAACAACAACTAGCACATGGCCACAAAATGATCAATTAAATGTGTATGCAAACTGCACAAGAAGAATGAGAAATAAGAAATCACTCACTGGTAAGAAAATGCTGGGAAGTAGGGCCAAAATCCCTGTGAGCTTCATGCAGTTGCTTGATGCGCTCATCAACAGCCACCTGTTAAGAGAGGAGGAAAAAAATGACTTTTATAGACAAGAAACAAAGAGCAATTATAGTCAGATCATTTTTTTATTAGTGAACATTCAGTTTAAAATTAAGCAGTTTCCTGCAACAAATGTTATCTTTCAGAGTCTTCAGATGAGATGAAATGTGTCACTGGAAAAAAAGGTAAAAAACAAAAAGGTTTTTTTCTGTTGTCCCTATCTTAACTGATGCTAGAAGAAGCTGAAAATGAAAAGGCTGATAAATAAAGGTAAAGCAAATTGGCCTGACATTATGTACCTGAAAATAGTATGACTGCTGCTTGTCAATATTGGAGTCAGAATATCCATCTGTTAATAATATTTCTAAACTACTTTTGAAGTACTTTTGAAAATACAGTATTATAAATCAGCACGTGAAAAGTAATCTCATTTAATGTGGACAGGATAACCATATTTCAACCAAGTGCTGAAATGAGGTTAACCAAAAGAGAGCGGCTGGTACAAACATTTTGCTGTTCTTTTTATCACTCAAACCTTTGCCCCTCAACCCTTTCCTCAGAACAGACCCTTGAAGAACATGTTCCTGAGGTTTTGTTGGGTTGGTGTACTGAATGAAAACAGAGACAGTAGTTTAGGACTTAGTTTAGGTCTAGTTTCTCAGTGGTAAGTTACATAAAAAGTCTTTGTCTCACCTCACTTCCTTGAGCTCTTCTTGTGTTAAACTATGACACATGTGATAGATAACAAGAACTTTAACCCTTAAACAACTCATCTTTGAAACAATACACCGTAAGTTAACATAACCCATCAACAAACTATAGGAAAATTTATAAAAGATAGAAGACACTTCATGATAACAGAGTTCCCCAGGTGGATGTTATTCATGATAAAATTAGGAACACCAAAAAACCTGTTATTTCCCTCTTATGGAGTAATCTCCATAACTTTAATAAGAGGGACTTCCCTCCCTAAGTAAACTAAATGAAAACTATTTTAAACTAAAAATTTTAGGTTTTATTTCTTTACACTATCAATGAAAAAAAACTGGTGCGGGAGAAAAAGTATTCTGAAAGGTTTACTTGGATTCTTACTACTTTTCTTCCTTTTAGTTACTTTTAATAAAACTTTCTTTATACCCTTTTAAAGTTTTGAGCCTACTTTACCTTTCCCCTCATTCTATCTCACAATAGGAAACAAACACATTAGTTAGGAAATCTCAAAATTAGTAAAAATCTCAAATTAAAAAACCAAAACCACTACAGACTGGTTTTATCTTTACCATTGAAAATCTCAGTGGAGTATTGAGCAAGTGGCCAGAAGGGGGTGGTTACAATAAGATTCCCTGGTGTATGAGTGTCATCTACCAGTCTCTTTATAGCCTGTATGCTAGAAGGATGTCATGAAGTTAGACCTAGGAATGGAATTAGATAAAAAAAGGAAAAAAAACCTTGAAAGTAATGATAGAATAATTTTGAAATATAATAAATAAAGCAACTGAGAGGAATCAAGTTCGCTTAAATTTTGCCTGTAAAAAAAGGTGTTCCATCAACACTGGCAAAGCAGAAGGTAAGTATACTTTAATTGGCCTAATTGTGATATACAAAACAAGGAAACAAATAGGTTGCACAGGTAAAATGCAAACTACATTTTAAAACTTCCAGGGAATTTCTTGGTTGGTGGTAGGAGGGAACTATTGTATAGTAACTGGACATGATACAGTTGGAAGGGAAAAATTTAAAAAGGTAGAATTAATGAGCTATTTGATATGACTGTGTGTGTTTGCCAGATAACCCCTAGAACCCAAAATCTTCTTTAACTAAGCAATAGCAATTTACTGCCAAGACATGATTTATTTGCTTACAATTTTAAAACTAACACTATAAGCAAAAATGCCCATTTGCTTTCTTTCCTCAAACTATTTTTCAGGTGCTTTTCCTGCAGCTCCCTTCATTTCTGTGTCATCTTTTCTGGCTTCCCACTGAATTGCAGGAACAGATGCTTCTGTTAAGCAGTGCTTCATACCAGGGACTGACTTTGAGCTTGAGTTCACACCCAATTCACTGCACAGAAAGAAGCTGGGGAAGTCTGTAACTGCACAGAAAACCACGAAAGGGCTGCTTCTGGTCATCAGTAGAATTAGCTTAAGTGCAGAATAATTAACTGAAGTGCTATTATTTTTAACCAAGAAATGACCTTCCAATGAAGACTAGAAAGATAATCTTAAACATACCTAAACACATGCAAATAAAGCCACTGGAAAAATGTATGGAAAATGCATATGCTCTTTAAAATTGTCTTAAAATTACCTCATAACATACTTATTTTGTCATTAGGAAATATTGGTTAATAAAGAACTATATGGCTCTTCCTTTATATTAGTACATGTTTTTATTAAGTGAACCAGGATGGAAATTTTTTTGCTGGCATGAAGACTCCCTAAAGAGAATGAGAACTTTACAAACACACAGTGGGGAGCAGTGTTTCATATAGGAAAATTTCAACAGCCAAATAGTGGTCAGCAAAGGGCATGGGAACCCTTTAGTACACATGACCACTGCCAGCACACAGCCTATTCAACTTCTGTAAGTGTGCTAAACCTGAGAATTCCAATCCCCTCAAACCATCCACGTAACCTTTAAACTGCACACAATTATTAACCTGAAGATTTTTATGTACATCAGCAAAATAAAACACCTTACACACTTCAGGGTTAACTTTCCAACTGAACAGCTTTGGATGTGAGCCAGGAAATACTTCTTTCTAGAGGTAGATTTTGTCAATACAGAGAAAAAGAAAACACTGAGAAATGTTGAGAATTCTCCAGGAAATATCACCTGAGAGTACAAAACATTACTCCACTTGGCTCCCAGGAAATACCACTTGCTGGTGTATTGGCTTACAACCTTTTAGGTAAAGACATTAAAAAATGAACTTACTTTTGTTGGTACATCAAGGAAGATTATTGCAGTCAGTTTCTATTAATTTTATCAAAACTAACACATAAATGGTAAAATAACAGAATTTGAACTGACAATAACTTAGATAATGGTGTACAAAAAATACCCACTGAAACAATCCTTGCTTAAACTTACAGAAGAATGTGTCTCTGATCCAATAAAATCAGATTTGGATTTGACTTAGTGACTTATATATCAATGATCTGAAGAAGGAGATTCTATCAATAGAAGTCTTCATAAATGTTTCATGGTTCTTAAAAGAAATTCTCACTGGCATGTAAAGGTGTTTCTTATTTGTCATAAACAAGCCATAGGTAATTCCCAAATTTTAGATTTTTGTATTGTTTTTGTTTTTCCTTCAAATCAAGTGAAATAGGCTCCTTCAAAATGAGCACAAACAGTATCTCTTGTTTGTATGCTATGCTCTGAGCCATGAGCAGTTAGAATAAAATGTGAACAACTGGAGCCTTGTGGTGTGGGAAGAAAACTGCAAAATTTTCAAGCCCATTCAAGCATTCATTTTCCTTGCTTTAAAGGGAAGGAAAAAAAAAGTGGTGTTAATGAAGTTCTGATTTCAGTAGTGTTGGCTAAACCATGAAAAAAATACTACTTTAAAGGTACTATTATCAGAATGTAACATGCAAGATCACAGAATGGGTAAAGCTGGAAGGGACCACAGTGGTCATCTGGTCCAATCTCCATGGGATGGGACTGTGGATTTCATTTGGGCACCTTTTAGGTAAAACTGCACAGTATTCCTCCACAAGAACTGCTACAAATAAATAAATTAATAAATAAATGGATTTCTAAAAAGTCAGCTATTGCTTTATCATGATGAGAGAATTTGATTTAAACAGAACTAATATAAAAATATGTTTATAACTAATTTTTACATAAAAAAAAACATCAGAACTTTCTGTAATTGGGATACTTGAACCATTGCTTTTCTTCACTGGGGATGCATGCTTGAAAGGACATGCATTTCCATTTTTTATTTAATCCAATGTTTTATATAACATTGATCTTCTTTCAATCGTAACAAATGAAAGAACCACAGCAGTGCAGTAAATATACTCGAGATTGAAGATGGTAATATTAAAGATCCTGTACTGATTTTAAGTGATATTGACATGGTACAGAAATAGCTTCTGCTAAAAAAATTGGCTAGAACAAAAAAATTAAAGTCTTTCTCCTTTAAAGACATTGAAAACATTTGATGAAAAGAGTTCTGTTTCCCATCCCTCGGATTCAGCCCTGTGAACTGAATCTATAATCAAGTTCAGAAAAACAAATTAAGACAATAACAAAAGCAAAGCTGTTCCATGCAGTTGTTAGCAATAGTTTCAAGTGCTTTACCTAATGTGGGGTTCAACCTTGACGACAACATTTTTATAAGAGCTCCACTGCAGTCAGAATAAGGATTTGATGGATTTAATTTGGGTCTACTACTACATTCTGGCAGGAGGGTAGTGGGTGGGATTTGTCCTGTTTTTTCTTTTTTTGAGGTTTAACTGAGAATATATTTATGATATATAAAGTGTTCTTTTGTGTTTATGTCTACACTGCAAAGTAGACCTAGATCAAGAAGGAAATATGAGCTGTTTAACTCTCACTATTTTCCATGTTCTCAAAAAGTACCCAACAGCAGCTGTCCAGGAGGGCTGGAGGTGCTGAAATACCCCAAGATGTGCTGGAGGAGGGAGGCACACCCAGCATATAATTGAGGTTGTGCCTGCAAACAGGGAGTGGCCTCAGCAAAGAGCTATAGGAATGGTCTCTCTTATCAATCCATCAACCTTGTCCTCTTGGATCTACCAACACTACAGAGACATAAGAGCCTTGGCCTAGCTGTGGTATAACCCTGCCACAGCCTTGCCCATAGCTTTGATTTTCAACTGAACAAGTTCAGTGGAGGAAATTTACCCCAGGGCTCTTATCTGATCTGTGACTGTGGCTGAATTACCCTGCAATGAGCTAAGGGCACTGCTTGGCTGCCTCTCTGTGCTCAGCACTCTCAGGGAATTCACATTCAGTGAACATTCAGCAAGGAATTTAT